AAATTCCCATTGCATTTCCTAATAGGCGACCTGGTTAGATAACTTCTCTCGCGCTTGGTCCCATCGCAGTTGAGCGAGGTGTTAGACGGCGATTAATCAGTCGAGCGACTTTTCACTTTTTCGTTTTCTATATATCTGCTCTGAGAAAATGTACCATTTGAGTGGTTTCAAATTACGAATGATATTGGGTTATAAGCGTCACGAGAAGTGAGAAAATTTATTGGATTGCAAATGCAGACGTATATATTCGACGGACGATTCGGATATCCCATTTGAAAACGCTCAAAACAGAGTGGTGTTTAACGGTCCATCGAAAACTCATGATCTTAATGAAATTTTAGGGAAAATTCGATTTTTAAATTAATAAACGTCGGTACGTCGTACAAGCCTGATTATATCAAGTTACATTGGACCGTTTCATCAATTATTCTAACGTTAGTTACATTACAATATTTGTCAGAAACATTAAATGCACTAGATTTTTATCGCAAAATAGTCGAATACGACAACGCAAGGTGTAGCAAAGTCGTACTTCCCGCACGGCACGTTGAAATAGTACATTATGCTATTGGTACTCGCGTAAGGGGAGGCGTTGAGCCCTCAGCAGACGACACAAAACCACATTGACTGCCTAAAAGCGAAGTACTATCGGGCTATCCATGCAGGACGTCGCTGTAGGTTTCACGCTAGGAGGGCGCATAGTCACTACTTTAACAAACCGTGAGTAAACATAAATAGACATTAATTCACAAAAATAAATGAAACATGTCTTCATCGGCAAACGCAAGCGGAAAATAATCAAAGATTATAACGTTCTGATCGCGCGTTGGCTCGTAAAATCAATGACTAGCTAACTATCTAGAAGTAACAGTTACTTGATCATAAACCTTCGAACGTGGCAACAGAAAAAAAGCCGGATAACTGTTGTATAATATACCATAAAAACTGGGAACTAATGAAATATTCTGCTCAGATAGTTAAATTGTAATCCATCTCCAGGAATGACACATAATAAACAACAAGGTGATCGAAAAGGTTACGTTTTATATTTTACGATTGTTTTATTATCCGTGACGATTCCGTCCGACAAAAAGTAACCGTCGAAGAACTAATAACATAACATATCACTCATGGGTCACGGAAATGAAGCGTAAAATGTCGATGAATGTAAAAACCGATCAGCCCGATAAATCTCAGTCGAAAAGGAATCCCGTGCCTGCTATAAAAGATACTTGATCGTGAACTTGCCACAAGGCTGTAATACATTCCTTCGTCAAGGTGAACCTCTTGAGTACGCACCTAGAAAGCATTTAGTCTATGTCGTGCATCTCTGGCTTGATTGTTCTCAATTGGCTAGCGGGATTTTTAAATTCGGATGGACTGGTTTTACCGTTTCTGAAACGGGTAAAAATTCTAAAATCGCTTTGAAAAGTTTGGATGCCAGAAATTCTCTGTTTCGTCTTTTGTGAAAATACCGAGGTGTTGCGTTTTTTAACATTTTCTCTTTCTTCTGAATCGTCAATTGGTTCATTGTGTTTTCGTACCGTATCAATAACTTTCAAGCAGCTGCAAAATTACAGAGAATGAAATTATGATCGATGATGAATCTAACTGCATGCAAAAATATATTGACAAGAATGTGCATGTGAAAGCATAACAATTGGGCAACGCCAAAATTTCCACTTTTTAAAAAACAAGAATGTTTTTTCTGAACAAAAAAAGCTAAAGAAAATCCTTAGATTATATATAGTATTATCAATTAATGCAGTTCCGTAAGCTTTTTGTTGTATACTATAAGTGATTCCACAACTCATTACGGACATTTTTTGCACCATCACTTTGTTTTGACACGCTGATTTTTAACGACGAATTCTCCACAGTAGCTTTTTCTTGCAGTCGAATGCAATAGCTTGGCATCCTCTTAACGAGTATTTAGTGTTTTAGTATATCTTACGTCATACCGTAACGAGTGTTTCTGAATCACAAAATAAATGCACTATTCTTATCAACAAGTATGACGCAATTGATAAATTGCTGTGTAATTTTCATTGAGATACTCAGTTCGGTGTAAGTGTATGCAAATAAAAAGATGAAAAACCCATGAATCTTAAAAGAAACTTGAAAAATTTGCCTACGGTCATTTAATTGGATTCTATAACTCGAAGATAATTTATTATGTTTTCATATATAGAAAAGTTAGTTCATGATATCTATCGCTTGTCACATAGTAATAAATCGGCCCAGATTTGTAGGTTTGATGTTGATTAAGATTACATAATGCATGAAAATTCTTTTGAACTATTTTTGCTCTGAAATTTTTAACATTGACGTTCATACATAATCATTGGTGAAATCGTCTAAGAAAATACCCATTAACATTTGATTATCGTTTTTTTTTCTAGGGCAAAAAGTTAACATTTTTTCGTAGTTTGACGCTTCCTAGTTTTAAATCAGATAGTTAATTTTTTTTGTTTTATTATTGTATTTTTTATAATATATAATTGCTAATGATGTCTAGCACGTTTCGCACCCTCATCTTTTTCGTCTTTTTTGTCGCATTCGTTTCAATGCACAAATATAGATAAAAACTTTTATTAGCGAGAAAGAAAATTCAAGAATTCAATATGCATTAAATAATCATGTGATTTAATATGGCATATGAGAGACGATATTATTTATTGGTAAATAAATATGCGGTTATATACGTATGATTTAAAAATGTTATCGATGATGTTTTAAGTTTTTTTTCTCTATCGAGTTATCAGACGGTTTTTATTTTGAGGTCAGTATGAATAAATCAATTATTTCATATGAAACTCATGAAAACTATGCAGATACATTTTTCGCACGTTTAACGTTTACGGAAATCTTTAGTAATCTTTCATGAGCATACACAAGATTGTACGTTATAGCATACCAGCTGATCACGTGACTATCTTTCAGCCAATCGGATCATAAATAAACTAGCTTTACTTTGCCAGAGTCTCTTTTTTATAAAAGGATCGTCGTACAATCATCGTATATTCTTACCAAAAACTCGACTTTGTCGCAAAGCCGATATCAGTAAATCCAAAATATCTAGAATAAAATATAATCTATAGACTCAACGAAGAATTTATTATTGCTAGTTTTGAATTAATAATTCAATGACAATGAACAATTCAATATTCCCATGGAATATTACGTAGTACAATTTGTGCACACATTTTGACAGTTGTGCAACATTTTAAATAGTAATCTGAATGTTGAAATAACTGCTGAATAAAAAAACGACGAATCACAATTCTTATATGAATTATTTCGTTTTTTACATATTTTTGCATGTCAAAGCGATCCTGTGCCGAGGAAACAATTATCTTCAACGTGACAACTACCACGTGATAATATAGAAATCGTTCTCGCCCGCGCGGTTATGCATGCGAAGGTTCTGTTTTTTCCTTCGTTTCGACACCAAAGAATACAACGTCACTGTCAATCTTTGACAAGTTCAAGTGATTCGTCCCGAATACCCATCGCCGTCGGCGCGCAAATACGAAGCACATTTGAAAATTACGAGCTCGTGTTTGACTTGCGAATTCACGTGGAATACCTAAGTAGAGATCTTTTGTTTGTTCTTAACTTTTGATGGATATTTGCATTGTTTTCTCTCTTACAGAAATATCCGATATATTTTATGGTTCTGGATAGGCACGAGGAAAAAGGAAATGTGAGAATAAAAATGTTTCTTATACACCTTGTTTGAAATTTCAATCTTCAATTAGATGCTGGTAAGATTTCATTCGCGATTTTCTATAGTTTCGGTTATACATGTTTTATTCGATTGTTCGATATCAGCGTTTCGGGATACCAAAGATGTCTATGTATTTGCGCACTTGCGAAAGACAACAAAAGCTATCGCAACCAGGCAAGGGGAAAGCCATTACCGATCACGATATGCCTTTCCACTGAATTTAAATTGATTAAAGTCCCCCTCCCATCGATAATCAGAGATAGGTGAGCAATGGAGAAATTTCGTCTCGACTTGGATTCAATCGCTTGCCTAAAATATAAATGAATGCAGGTGCTTGAAAAAAAAATGATCTTCGATAAATATTCATACCCATAATGCGACTAATCCACCTTGGAATGCTTCGAGTAGTGGTTTGTTCATTGCAAAAATGAAAAAGACAACTGTGGTTTCCAGCTGTCATTTATGTTTACACTCACTATGAAAAAACTAAATTTTATTGTACCTTACAACCGAGCTGACTTAAGGAACATCATTGATTTTTTAATTTTTTTATGAAGAAAACATTCCAATTTCTCGAAACATTCCAAGATTGATTAGTCGCAATCTATATATCAACATTTGTTGATGATTATTTTTTAAAGCATCGTTAGTTTATATATTAGGCAAACGATTGCAAGGTAATCGCGATGAAATTTCTCCATAGATATCGATAGGAGGTCTTAAAGCGTTTTGATATTAGACACGTTTAAGTAGAATTTTTTTCTTCTAGTCTATCCAACAAGTCAAGCGGTATGTTCATAGTCGAAAGAAACTCTTTTCTTTGTGTTTAATTAACAAGATTAAATTAGTTGGATTTTAATTCAAGAAAAATGTACTTTGACGTATTCGATTATTTAATATTTAATTATTTAATTATTTAATTTCCGTATTCATTATTTGTTATAAATTGAAAAAATATAGTAGACCAATTAATTTTTTAAACCTTGATATTCTGGAATAAAGCATGTTCAATAATTATATCTTTTAACGGTAAATTTACTTTTATACCTATACGTGTAAAAGTAGTTGGATAGTTAAGGTCACTGAATGATATTCAAACATAAAAATTAATCTTACTGTACTGCTTATGTTAAATATGAAAATTTGATAAATGTTTTTAAAAATAAATTTATTTCGCAATATTTATTTTTAACATTTTATAAATTAATTAAGAACTTATGAAAAAATCCTATTTCAGGTTGAAAAAAAAAGCATCCCACACTGTACTCACCTCCATCATCCTTCTAACTGTTTATTTTCCAAAGTTCAACGAATCAATCATGTAAGCAATTTCCGAAATCACAACGATGTTTCACAATTCTAATTATCACCCCTCGATGAAAAAAGGATCACGTGTACGTGTGTGATCAACCTTCACAAAAATATCGCTGGTATTTCCAACATATCCTCGTTATCACAACTCCCATTCACAAGTGTGCGTCCATCCGCACACGCGAGTAGGACTGAAGTGAGTGACTAGCGTTCAAACGGGTTTCGCTCTCAAGCAACGACTGTGGCTTTGCGAGGCTCATGAGCGTATAAGTATAAGTACATCTCTCGAGGAAAAAGAGAGAGAGGTGTGTCGGTTCTTTTTTGTTTTGTTGCGACTATTAATCCGCAAGTGGTTTTTCCAGTTGACTTTTTGGGGGGCTAACGGATATAAGAAACTTTTTGTATCCGATTGTCTTGTATTGCAGAATGTTGGATAGTATGTGTACTAAGTCTCTTCTTAGTACAATGGCGTCATGGAAAATTATCGACTACCTATAATTTAATTGATTAGCAAGAGCCACATATCATTAACGCTGATTGAGTACCTGAAGCATACGATTGAATTTCAGTTCATATGGTAAATTAACTTCGAGATAGTTAGATTGACATTTCGAACCAAATAGCGTTTGGTACCTTCAGACAAATTATTATATACTTTGTTATATACCCATTTATTTATGACATAGCATGTAGTTTGTGATAAATACTATCACATATATCGAGGAATGAAGAAATACAAACTACATACTATGCATTCGCAAAAAGAAAGCGAGTTTATTCATCAAGATATTATGTCATCTTTTTGTAACAGGAATAATTGAAAAATTCAGTCGGCAAATTTACATAAAGTTTTTAGAAAAAAGCCTAAGAAGTCTCACAATTACTACCTTTGCTTTCCTACGTTACATGTCCAATCCTTCCGAGCGAAACTCGAACTGTCGGCTTGTTATGAATGTGTCACAGAGTGCCTTCACAGGATAAGAGGTGAAAATTCGGATGTGCAGTATACGAGTAAACCGGTTCGCAGCCTCACAAAGGCAATTATCTCATATAGTGGTCGTAGTTTATTTTATCTACGTGATATAGGGAAAACGATATCGGCATTTTTGGTGATTAAAGCAAGAATGGCAGAGCAGGCAGGAAAATGGAACAGATAAACAGAACTTATTTCGATCAAATGGCATTTTAGTTAGACCACTTTCTCCGCGGGTTTGCGACTCAATGTGACGTAAGAATGAACAGTCGTGAGTTTGAACTTTGTAATTTTTTGTCGTTGCGAGATTCGTTATTGTAGACTACCAAAGAAACCAATGTAACTTGGTTTTTTGATAAACCAATTACCTAAAGTTTGCATGATTCACTCCAGGTGGATGCCAAATACAACTTTCACATTTATATTTGAAATATAGTTGCCAAATATAATTTTTATATTTTTCAAGTCATTAATACGTCAAAAACTTCGATACAAGTGAACTTTTCTTTAAATTGAACTTGAGACCAAAATAGATATCTAATAAAAAATACTTTACGGTGATTATAATTTCTCGTTGACAAAGGAACTATCAAGCTACTGTCATGCAAAATTGTGAACGAGTATATGCAAATGTCACTCTAATTTTGATCGCTATGTCAATGAAATTACACTGGCGCTCTCGCTTGATCACTCAAAGCGACTACACGCGAAACGAGCATGCAGAGGCATTCAGCTGCAATGAAGGAAAAAGAGAGAGGTGTGCAGTTCAGTGAACTCGCGAATGAGGATTTCAGGTTCAAGGCCGAAGCGGCAACTCGTCTAGACGATCTTGGTTGAAGTTTCTTATTCTCACGGGAAGTGACTAAAGTCAGACGCTTTTCTATTTCATTGTTCTTTTCTTTACGTTTACAGAGGACCTGTCTTGAATCGCGATTCATTTTTAGTATTTTATTGCTTCGATATTCAAATTTTGCGCTTTCAATTTAAGTCGACAATGTTGATTTGCGTAAACCTGCGACAGTTCTTTTATTATACAAATGGTTAGTTTGTGGTCTGTGGTCCTGCGTGTTTCGAAATCGTGCTATATAGTGTAAGTCAGGATAAAACCTCTGTGAAAACGTTATTCGCGGTCGCGTCAAACGAAAACAAAAAGCTACGAAATGTCTTGTGACTCCACGCTGAAAAGTGCAAGACTCGAGGGCTTTTGTAAGATATTTTTGCTTGCTATCGCGAGAGTACGAAATGAGCATCACAATAGAATACTACATCGAGTGAAATATTGCGCAGTTTTACAAAACATTCGTCTCTTACACGATCGCTTTTTGATTACATATTTTGAGCTCCGCATCAACAAGGTTACGGACTAATTATGTCCGTCGTCTCCTAAGATTTTTGTCGTCAGTCGAGCAGCTAAGTATGCCAGAACTTCCTGTGACGTTTCTCCATGACTAAATTACCATCAGTTTTGTAAACTTTTCTTTTCTCGTAAAACTTTTTTTAAGAACTTATTGCCTTCGCAAATGAAAATGTATTTATCTTTCAAAAATGGAAAATTAAAAAGCTTTCAAGCGGAAATTTTGTAAACGAGAAATTTGGATTAATGATAATTAGGAGCCATTGGCTACCAAACTTTTACGTTGAATTTCATCATACGTAATAAGTAGTTTCTATACCAGCAACTTTTGCTACTTCAAACCTTACACTTTGATTTCATTCGCGGCATTAAAAAATTGCGTATTACAGGTCGAGCGTGTCTCGCGTAGAAGCATCCCAGAAAATTGTATCGTCATCGACATTAACGTTTTTCATCGCTTCGATGAACATTTTCTTTACTGTCGGCAAAGGGAGTGCATACCTTTCCAATCGAAGCGAGGATCGTATCGTTAGTGCAATTAGAAAGAGAAAACGCAAAAAGGAAAAGAAAATCGTTCGCAACTGCGTTTCGTACTCAACGGCATAGGTCTTGGCGAAGCTCCAAGTTAATTTTTCAGAGTACAGCGACAACTTGATCTTTCCATCGACAAATATGACACGCTTCGCGCGCGAGATTCGAATCGCTGCCAAGCGATTACGCTTCAACGAGCTCGATAAACGCTATGGTCACTTAACTCGACGTTATTACCACACCTCACGATTGTATACCTGTACACTGCACCGTAGACTTTCTAAGAAGTCTTCGATCAGGGCTGCTGAATCACAATCGAAGTCTTTCGTGTATCGGATAGATCGTTATGGAAGCATCGTTACTTTTTGCCAGCCATCGGCCAGATTTTATTGTAGCGATACTTGTGTCCATTATTTCGGTATATCTTTTTTATGCTCTGTGATTAATGAACATTTAATTAAAGTTTAATTCGAAATTCAAGTAGCTGACGTTGCGATTTGACACTGAACCTTTTATTCGCTGGCGATTGTCGGTGTTTCTATGAAAATTATAAACTTTATCTGTCTACCAGGGGTATAATTTAAATGTTTGCAGTATCTGTTTATAATCAATCGTTGGTATGTCAGTTAGTCTGTTCATTATCGCTTGTATTAAAATTCACATTTTTTTTATGACTTTTATTGCATACACTTTATATTTGCTTCTTACACTTTATTAAGTAATACATCAATTAATTCATATATTTCCCAAATTAGTCGTGTATTTTTTTAATACTCCCATCTTGTTAAGAAACGCATTATCAATTCCTGAATAATCTTCCATGAAGATGATTAAAACCAATTTGCGATGTACTTCGGTCTCATCTGCACTGATAAATTCAAGATGACAATTACAGAAACTTATAAACTTCTTGGAAAAATTGGCTAAATCATAGATGATTGGTTTTTAATTAATACCTGTCTTGCAAGTGTTGATCTAAAAATCACTTTTATTAGCGAGGAATATACATTTTCGCTAGCTAAAATTTGCATCGGATAAAAATCTCACACGTTACGAAGGGAAGCTCTTCCGTCGTCGCGCAGCCTTTCTTACAATAGCCATTATCATTTGACATCACCCAAAAAGTCAAGTATCAGTCGCATAGCCTTAGCAGGTAAAATTCTAAGATCCGTAAAGCAAGCGCATGAGTGCAGCAAACCAGCAGCCGCGAGAATTCATAAGACAAACCATACCTGTTGACTGCGTTCAAGTAAGACAAGCATCGGGGAATGGAGCACTCTTCGTAGTTCCTTTGGATCGCGCGTATGACCTCCGACGCGGCATACTTGGCCGGCACTGCGCTGAACAAGTACGGAAATCTAAAAGCAATCTGCGTGCATCATCCGAATCGTAAATGCGAAAGCGACGCACGGGAATTGGTTGTACCGGAATTTTGGGTCTTTGGCAAGATCCGTGTCGACGTAAAACGGATAAATCGTGGTGAACTGTATGTTCGAGCTCTTCTTCGTTGCCCGAAGCTCTTCGCAAAGTCCCTCCATCAAACCTACGAAATCACATTTCCAATTCAGAAAGAAACCTATTGTTCCGCTAGCGCTGCACGTAATTCACCTTTCAATGCAAACTTTGACGAGCAATAAGGAACTTTGTACGCTACGCCGTAGAAACCGCACGAACTACTCATTGAAACAATGTGGCCTTTATTGTTGTGCAGCATCGTTGGCAAAAACGTGTGTATCGTCTACGTGCACATGACTTATGTTATTGAACGTAATCCAGTGGGATAATCCGTAGAATGTTTTGTTCTCTTTCACATTTTCATTATATGAAAATTACGAGCTTATTATCGAGACTAGAATAGAAATGAAAGTTTTGCGTAACCGCGCTTTAAGTACCAGGGTAGATCAATAAGCACCCGAGTTTAAAAATAAATGGGTGACAGATTAGTAGACATTACGATCGTGCACCGTCGCCTGTTAACGCCGCATAAAGTTTCAAAATGATTTATAAGCTGGAATTTTTCGAAACGATGGAAGAGGGGCAACGTTGATCCGTAATTGGTTTTTTTTTTACTTTTTCACTTTTGGAAGGCAAGATGTTAATAACCTCGAGATAATACAGTAAAAATCGAATACCCAAAACTGCGACAGTACGTTGACGTGAAAAATCCTTTCGATGTCGTCATCCTTGTGCTCGATAAATGGTTTGTGCATCAATATTGCAGCGCTATTAATTAAAATGCTAATTTCTGGTATACCAGCTTGTTTCATCAGTTGGGCAGCTTCTTGAACCATACTGTATTTAGATACGTCCACCATAAATCCATGCGCCTTGTTTAAACAATTGGAAATAGTAAAATACCGTGCAGCTTCAATACGTCAATTATGGCAGATAAAAACATTAGGGCAAGTCCGAAAATTCGCTCTTAAAATAAATATCGCTCGAGATGGTCGATTATTCAATATCGATAATAATGGAAATTTAGTCTTCTTTCAAATCCGAATGGGATTAAAAAATTCTGCGTTGAAACAATGGTCAATTTATGACTTCAAAGGGGCTCATCATTATACAGAAAGTTACTCTGTACTGAGGAATAAAGATTTTAAGCATTTTTTAAGCATACAATTTTTTCGAGATTTTGTGATTCGTGTTTCATTATTTACACTTTAAGTCACTGTGCGATCATAATAGTAAATTAAATTCGTCCCAATGCTTGAAGAATTAAAAAAATGCAGTATACTTGATAAAATATGATGCTAAAATCGTTCAACTTGTAACGTTGAGATTTAACTCGATATCTCTTTTAATATGAATTTATTATTAACAACTGACGTCAGACTTATATCGAATATTAGTACACACGTATGTTACATCGAATAAATAAACTATTATATTTAAACTAATAACGAATATGTTACCTCGTGAAAAATCAAATATGAGTCAATGGACCAATTATAATTACCTCACCACCATCTCTGGCAATAAAACTTATAGTTTCTCGATTGGCGTTAGCGTCACAATCCCAGCAAACGACAATGCAACCGAGGGCTGCCAGTTGCACTGCAAGTTCACGCCCAATTCCATGACCTGCGCCTGTGATCTGTTGATATTCGAAGACTGATTATAATACTTTCATTATGGCAAGAAATGAAGAGAGGAGTAATCTAGGTTCCAATTTATCTCTCAGATTTAACTCTATCTCTCTCTCTCTCTCTCTCTCTCTCTCTCTCTGTCTCTCGCTCTAACACACACGCGCGCGCACACATACACAGTTTGCCTGTACATTTTCACGGAAATTGATTGATTGAGAAAATTACTTGTCAGTCTGATTGAATAAATTGGACATAGATTGGAGTTTTCATTTCAGATGAAAGATTATCGTTAGGTCGATCGCCAGTCGACATTGCTAATGGCGTTTGTTCGCATTTGACGCAAAAGCCTCGCGATCGTCTGTCATGAAAATTAGACGTCGGAAATCCTCGTTCGCGTCGTAAAATCAAACGTTTAATTGCAATCGCATAAAGTCGCACAAAAGTAAACTCACTAAAACAGTCTCGCCGAGCAGCCGCTTCTTCCACGGTGGCACAACAAGTCTTACGGAAGCGGCGATCACCGCGAGCATGACTTTCGCGGACAACATCATCAAGTCGCGAGCCAAGCATAGCGCAGGCACGAAAAACCGGCTAATCCTTTTTCCACGCCGAAGCGATGACGTTAGCGGAGTTGAGGTACGGCTGATCAGACAATCGTTCATTTTTCATACGCGCTCGCGCTTCATTCGCCATGTGAATCGTTACGCGAGGTTATAGCTTCCAACGCGCAAAAAATAATTGAGAGTCGTGGATGAGTCAAAATTATTTTAACAATTTCGTGACTCATAAAAGAGGGCTTCACGTGATAATAACAGCGCAAACTTGATTACGCAACACGCAGTGCGTGTAATTTTCTGATGTCAAATGATTTCCTAATGAACAAGGAAACATTTTTCTCGTAAATTTTCGATTTTTTTGAATAAGAGAAACACACGGAGAAACGACATTCCTTGTGTACCTTCTTTTGTAATACTATCGTCATTTTCTATACCATTTTTTGTATAAGAAGGGTTAATAAATTTATAACTAAAAAATTGTATTGTATTATTCTTTTATTTTATTGATTGGCAATCAGGTTTATTTAGGTATGAGGGAAGTGTACATCGACGTGTTAGTTACAAACAAAACGCATACAAAATATTACTAAAAAATTGTAAGCGCTAGGGCGTAGAGATATATTCTCCATTAGTTTTCTTTTCTATAGTCTATCGCATTAAACGTCGAACAAGACTTTCTTAAATTCGGTTGGACTTACTCGTCGAACACTTAGTCACTGTTTACTGGTTGATAGTGTCCAACTACACAGCAAACCAGTATGACGAAAAAATTATTAATGTCCATCCGATGAAATAATAAGTAGCACAATCTTCGTGAGCTCGCCGGAGCACTACAGCATGTATTACATTAATCAGTGTTACAATCAACTTTCTTATGTAATTAACTTCTTATACCAGAGTGTCAATAATTCGTAAAATTATAGAGTGAAGAGTGCAATGTAATAAAATTTACCGAAATATAAATAAATGTTTTTGTTAATTATGGAGATTAAAAATAAACTGAGTTATCCGATAAGAATGTCCTTTTCATTTTGGAGTATTATAATTTTAATTAATGCTGCTACGATTAAATTATAATTATCAATAACAGAAAAATAGATGGTTGATTAAGTTGGCACTAGATGGCAGCCGTGGCTTTGAGCTAGCCGTAGGTTTTGAATTACATGGAAGAATGGAACGGCGTGGTGCATCGGCATTCGATTCGGCGTCTCGGTAATGAGAACACACGTGCTGTGTGTTTGTATTAAGTATATTGTTATTATTTTTAAATGAAAAGCTGAGTGGTTATTTTAAAAAATTTTCAAAATGTTAGTTCTTTTCGAAACTCCGGCTGGTTATGCCATTTTCAAGGTCAGTGGTACAATATTTTCATATCTTTTCCTTCACTTAACCCTAAATAATGCACACGTGTTCCTTTGTATAGCATAATTTTATATTCCTTTTATAAATGAATTATTAGCAAAGTCGGCTATTGTTATTAGATTAAAATATACCATACGTAATAATGGTTGATGTTGTTTTATTATTGCAGCTGTTGGACGAAAATAAACTTTCGAAGTCAGATAACCTTTATCTTGACTTTGAAACCCCTGAAAGAGCTGGTAAAGTGTAAGTAAAAACAAAATGTCAATTTATTAAAAAATAAAAGAAAACAAATATTCTTTTCAATTATAATTAACATACTTTTTCTAGTCTAAAGCTAAAACATTTTGAAAAGTTTGCTGATACTACAGAAGCTCTTGCTGCCACGACTGCAGCAGTCGAAGGCAAATTATGCAAATCTCTGAAAAAATTGCTCAAAAGGCAATGTTCCGAAGTCCAGGAGCAACTAGCTGTGGCAGATGCCAAGCTTGGAAATGCAATAAAAGCAAAATTAAATTTGGCATGTTTGAGCAATAGTTCAGTACAAGAACTTATGAGGTGCATTCGCACACAATTAGATAGCTTATTAGTTGGCTTACCAAAAAAAGAAATGGCTGCTATGGCTTTAGGCTTAGCCCACAGTCTTTCTAGGTATAAACTAAAATTTTCTCCAGATAAAATTGATACTATGATCGTCCAAGCTGTCAGTCTTCTGGATGATCTTGACAAGGAACTGAACAATTATGTTATGAGATGCAGAGAATGGTTAGTATTAGGTTTCGATGAACTTAGTAGTGTCAAATTTAATCGCTGTTGTTTATTGAATATTTTTTTGATTTTAGGTATGGTTGGCATTTTCCTGAATTAGGAAAAATTATTGCAGATAATACTGCTTTCGTAAAGGCAGTAAAACTGATTGGAACGAGGGAAAATGCAGTCACCTCGGATTTTTCTGATATTCTGTCAGAGGAAGTTGAAGAAAAGGTTAAATGTGCTGCTGAGACATCGATGGGAACAGAAATTTCCCATGATGATATTATCAATATTCAACAGTTGTGTGATCAGGTAAATGCAGTAATTGAGTTTGATGTACGAGCAATAACACGAGACATTATTCTAACTTATTAATTATATTTTAGGTGATTGAAATTTCTACGTATAGAGCACAGCTATACGATTACCTAAAAACACGAATGATGGCCATGGCTCCAAATCTCACAGTCCTTGTAGGTGATTTGGTTGGAGCTCGTCTGATTTCTCATGCTGGTTCTCTCATCAATCTGGCCAAACATCCAGCTTCCACTTTACAAATCCTGGGTGCTGAAAAAGCTCTATTCCGAGCCCTCAAAACCAAAAAAGACACGCCAAAGTACGGTCTTATTTACCATTCACAAATCGTTGGTCAGGTAAGCTGTATTTAAATTTTTAAGATTTTTCATAATCATTCAATCTATATTGCTTATTCATATTTGTAATGTGTTTTGCTAGGCTACGACGCGAAATAAAGGTAAAATTTCGCGTATGCTAGCAGCCAAAGCTGCACTTTGTACGAGGGTAGATGCTCTCGGCGAAGACGCCGATTTTGAATTGGGAGCCGAACATCGAGTCAAACTCGAAAATCGGCTCAGGTTACTTGAGGAAGGTAACCTGAGAAAATTGAGCGGCACCGCTAAAGCTAAAGCTAAATTTGAAAAGTTTCATTGTAAAAGCGAGATACTCGAGTATCCTGCTTCTGCTGATACGACATTACCAGCTGGAAAGAGAAAGTATTCACAAATTCAGGAGAAGCCACTAATTGAAGAAGTTGGTGACATTGAGACTTTTGAAGCTCCCAAGAAGAAGAAAAAGAAAAACGAAACTGAAATGGAAGTCGAAGTTGAAGTTAAAGTAGAAGAAGCCGAGGAAAACATACCTCAGAAGAAAAAGAAGAAGAAGGCCAAGCAAGAGACTGCTGAAGAGGAGGCTCAGGAGCTTGAGGAAACTGTGATGGAAATTGAAGGTGGAGAAGGTTAGTATTTTTCATAATAAAAATTTAATTTTATCATAAAAAAAATGTTAGTCATTTTTAAAGAGTTATTCTATTTTTTTTAATTTTTTTTATTTTTCAATATTTTTCTAAGCTCATCGAAAAACAGTCAATTCAATAATTTTGCGAAATTCAGGAGCAAAGAAATAAGAAAGTGACACCTAAATACTATAAATAAAAATTATCTCCGCTCAATTTATTAATGACAACGTTTCGCTACTTTGTCTTCCAATCTCATCAGGTCCTTTATTCAAAATAAATCAAAACGTTATGCAATTTTATTTATAGTATTTTTGTGTCACTCTCTTATTTCTTTTCTCCAGAATATCGCCAGATTTAATATGATCGAGAGTAATAATATCGTTAATTCAATGATTTGTCTTTGACCATTCACTGAAATATGAATAATCAATTCCAGAAGGCAAGAAAAAGAAGAAAAAAAAGAAGAAGAACCGTTTAGAAGAGGCCGAGACCAGCCAACTAGAAGTTGAAGAGCAAGATCCTACAGTAATAGAAGAAACAGTACCTGGAGAAAAGAAAAAGAAGAAAAAGAACAAATCTCTATCAACGATGGATTAACATATAGATTTATCATGTAATATAGTTTTGTATATAACTTCTTATATTAACGACTGTGATTCTTATAAGATTGACGAAAAATCAAGTTCTTGAGAATGACCATATTTTCTGTAATTTAAGACATTTTTTCAATAGTGTTGAGTACTTTATTTTTCAAAACTATGTAAATTATACCCATATTGTATAAATAATACACTCAATTTTTTTTGATTAATAGAAAAATACGTAGAAGCGACATATCTTGTGTACTTTCTTTTGTAATACTATCGTCATTTTCTATACGATGTTTTGTATGAAGGATTAATAAATTCATAATTAAAAAATTGTATAGTATTATTCTTTTATTTTATTGTTTAGCAATCAGGTTTATTTAGGCATGAGGGAAATGTACATCGACGTGTTAGTTACAAACGAAATGCATACAAAATTTTACTAATAAATTGTATGGTGCTAGGGCGTAGAGGTATATTTTCCATTAATTTTCTTTTTTGTAGTCTATCGCATCAAACGTCGAATAAGACTTTCTTAAATTTGGTTGAACGTTCTCGTCGAACACTTAGTCATTGTTTACTGGTTGATAGTGTTCAACTACATAGCAAACCAGTATGACGAAAAAATTATTAATGTCCATCCGATGAAATAATAAGTAGCACAGTCTTCGTGAGCTTGTCGAAGCACTATAGCGAGTATTAAATTAATCAGCGTTACAATCATTTTTCTTATATAATTAACTTCTTATACCAAAGTGTTAATAATTCGTAAAATTATAAACAGTGAAAAGTGCAATTTTAGATGGTGCATTGTATAGTGTATAAACTAAATTCTAAGATGAAAATTGCACAAAAACCTGGTTTCCCGTCTATATTAATGCTTGGTGAACAAAACAACTATTAACGAAATGAATTAATAGTAGTGGAAGCCTGCATTAATTACTGTAGTTAAAGTTTAGTGTTGTTAGATTCTAAGTTAAAACCAAACGCGATGTTACGCATACAGAAGTTCATGTAGTAGATTTCAATGATTTTTCTTAATTCAAATTCATGATCATGTAAATTTAGTATAAATTTAATTAAAATTCTTTGCAAGAAGGGCTTTCAATAATGTTTAATTAAAAAGTTTTTCTAACTTTTCACTTAAAAATTTTATTACAGACCTATGAAGTACTAACATTTGAATAAATAAAATGGTTGTTTATAAAATTTTGTACTGTACATTATTAAAAAACAACATAAACTAATTTATTTCGATTGTATTGTAAACCCTTCTTAAAACCTAAAATTCTTCATAATGCTAAATTAACTATTTTCTTACTTAACACACATCACAGATTTACATACATGCAAAACACATAGAAAATTTTAATACCGTTGCAAGAAAAAAAAACAACGCAAATGCAGTGCCTTGAATTTTTTATGTACGTCGTTTGATTTACAATAAATCAAATTCAACTCGCTACAGCACATTGTTGATAAAATTGGAATTCAATTTCAATCTATGTAGTTTAATTATGATATATCATTAAATTCTTTAATTTTTTTATGCGCATATTCGACCGTCTTTTTTAAAACGATAATATATAACTTCTAATTCTTCATATTTTTTGTTAAATAAATGTTCATAAACTGGATTGTCACTTGAAAATTGACGCAATCCTTTCAGTTCAATAATGTATTTCAGGTAAATCAAAATATATTAGTATTATGTAATTATATATATATTTATATATATATATATATATATATAAATTAGTTCATTTACTTTTTTGCATCAACTAAATTTGTACAAAAATGACTGAGTTCGCATAGTACACAAATTAAGCGTTGACTTACTGTCAAATAATTTGTAATATCTACATTACTTGTTACGTAAAACTTTTTCCGATTTAAAGAGTCATCAGTCGGCCTTTTCGAATTTCATAAGCTTGCAAAAACGTCTGAAGAGACGCAGCACATTGTTTCCTTGCAAACTTCATGTCTTGATTGCAACATAGAAGTACTTGCCAGCACATCACTTTTCATCTTATATCAAAGTTAATAAGATGCCTACATGTCTGCTGACTCGCATAAGGCGCATAGAAATTATTTCGAAAGAATCATCAATTTATAGAGCAACGTAAATTTAACTAATGACGTATTGAAATAAATGGAGTATACACATTGCAGTGTAGTTGACTTATAGTTTAAAACCTAATAATTGTCACTACTCCGAGATCAGCTTTTAAAAAATTAAAGTTAATTTTTTCTTCTTAACACTAAATTACAATTGATTTTTGTATACGTTTTATAAAAAAACAAAATGTATTTACATTGCTATATACATTGTAACTTGCTTTTTCGAAATAGTTTCGTAATAATTATTTTTTTCTTCGTAATCCGAAGTTTTTTTTCCACTATTCAAAATAAAAAATTAATGTTCCTAGAAAGTTTGCCAACATGTACCCAAAATTTAAATAAATACGTGCAGTAAATATTTTCTCAAGGACTTAAAAAATAACAAAAATCGCCGTACAAAAAAAAAAGAAAAAATATTGCACAGATGATTTGTTATGCTGCAGGCTGTGCATAAGGGAACTAACAAAAAAAATCACGTAATTGAAGAAGTATCAATGGTTGTGTATGGTCTTAATATATTTGTCTGTGTATGTATATATATATAATATATTATATTTATATATATATATTTATAATATATAATTTATACATTTATATTCAAAGGAATTTCAACATAGATTTGGTCAATTTTTCGAAAGTTAGCTTTCCGGAGTTGTTTTTTTTAAATAACGCCATTTAGTACTGACTCTAAAAAATAAATATTTAGAAAAAAAATTTTCAAGCATGTAAAGTTTACGAAAAGATTTAAATTTACTTAGAAAATAGGTTAAATGTATAGAAATAAATAAGAACTATACTTTCCAAAGAAACTTCTCTCAATACAAATTTCCCCCCTTATCGCAATTTAATCTTTGGCTTTGAATTTTGAGAAACTAGTCCATTTCTCATACTTAAGAGAATTTTTTTTAAATAACAACAAAATAATATATAATCCACTTATCAAAAAAATGAAATTGATACAATAAGTCCGAAAAGCTAATTTTACGGCCTGTACCAAATCATGATAAAACACCCCGCAATTAGTGAGTGAAATTTTTTGTTTCCCCATCAAGATACCGATTGTGTTCTAGCTATTTACAGAGAATAGAACAACGAAAATTGTTCCGTCACACACACGCGTTTTTGCTGTCTTTTGACTTTATCGGATACTTGTGAAAAGGTTCAGTACCGATTTGTTTTCCTTCTGGCTTCGGGCTTTGCTAAAGACATTCCAAAAGCGTAAAGTCTCATCACCAGCTCCTGTCACTATCGCCTCACCGTCTGGAGACATCGCTAAATAGAGCACTCGATAAGAGTGTCCTGTCAATTTGGCTACTTGTGTCAGGCTTGGGTACTTCCAAACGAGGATTTGGTTTTGTGAGTAGCCGTGTGTGCTTACCAGCTCTGAGCTGTGCTTACTCCAGGCCAAATTGCACACCTGTAACAGTAAAAATGAAATTTTACAGTGAAATTTTTTTGTAAAAAATTGGAATTATGCATATATTTTAACGAATAGGTTTGCTATCTCAGTAAGTAGACTATTTTCGGTTGATGAAAAAATGGGAATTGAGAAAACATCAAATGTGGTTTTTGTGGTCACGAAGTTAGAGCTATCTCTTTGGTTTATTTGATTTAATATAAGAAATAAAAAAAATCGTTAAAAATATTATCTGCTTCCTCAACACAGTACTACATAGAATCTTTACTGGTATCTTGAAGCTTATTTATTAATTGAATATCCAGTCTATAAACCTACTTGTGACCCCGTATCAACGCTCTGCATCGGCTGACCAGTGAGTGTATTCCAAAATCTGATACATCTATCTGCAGTGCCGCCACCAGACGCCAAAAGTCCATGGTGATGAGGCGACCAAGCAATAGCTTTGACAGCAGCTACGTGCTCGGTATACGTTTGAACCGGTGTGATTGAGTGGAGATTCCAGACGTAAAGCCGATTGTCGTTACCACCACTTGCTAAATACTGGTTATCGGGTGACCACTTCAAACCACAAACCTCTTGACGATGAGCTGATAATTTTCGTTGTGGTACGATACATGGTGTTCGCACGTCCCGTTGTATTATCATTCGGTCACGCGAACCTGACGATAGTACTTCACCGTTCCACGCCAAGGCTCCTACTCGTGCACTGTGCCCTACGAGTTTGTTGACCTGCAATAGAAAATACATATTAGAAACCTTTGATTAACTAAAGTTCGAGAGAATTATGTGACACGAGATCGTTTCAAGAATCCTTTGACAGGATGTAGTTGATGTGTCATCCTTGAGAAAATATTTCGGGTTAGTCGTGAAATGCCTATCAGCGGATGTGGATTTTTAGAGTAGTAATACATAGATTGCGCAATTTATCTAATATCAATACAAATTAAACATAAATGATCTGCCTATGAGTCACACGTTGGAAATAATAACTGAAACGTAGGAACGTTATAGTTAGATCATGAATAGATAAACTAAAACTTTTTCCCATAGTAAAATTCAACACGCGTGAAAAACATTTTAATCAAACTAAAATTGAAGTGGTTCTTTTCACTCGTACTATAGCAGAAGAATAGCGGGAAATGATTAAGAAGCAAGAATGATGATGAAAAGAGAGCGCGAAGGTCAACCCGTATCCAATTACGCAATAAGGGTCCGCCGCAATTAAACGACCTATTGCCCCCTCTTCCTTTAGAAAACTGCTTTATACCTGCTTGTTAGTCGTAACATCCCAGACTTGAATGTAACCATGGTGAGTACCTACGGCAACGAGATTACCCCTCTCATTCCAAGCAACAGAAGTCACACTGTTTTGATCCTGAGTTAAATCGCAAAGTCTCGTCACTTGACTCGTGCAAGCCGACCATAAATACACGCAGCTACCGAGTCCAACGCTCAACACATTTTGCGATGACCAGTCGACAAGATTTAAATAGAAATCGTCTTGTAGTTCGGGGGCGTCCAGCACTTTGAATGGTATCCGCGATATCTTTCTTGTCGCTTTCCTGGGCGACCGCAGCAATTTTTGACTTTTTGCGCTGAGCGGTGATAATGAGTATGGTGAACATTGATCCATCGACCTGTCTTTTGTTGGTGTCGTGAATTTGAAGAGATTTCTGCCTTGAACTGGAGAAAGGATTCTTCTTTCTTCGCTTTGACTTTTGACATCCTCTATACTAGCACCTGATTGCATAATCCATCATGAATTAGGGAATTTTGAAAATGGGATAATATTTGCTACAGATAATATTTGGTTTATAAATACCTAGCAATTCATTTTTCAATAAGCAGGAGTATGCAACTCCATCTCGGTTGCTCTCTCCATTATTTTCTCTCTTTTGTTTGCTAGCTGCATTATTTCTCTGTCCATCTGATATCATGGAGAAGGTAGTCTGCCAGTTGTTTCCCAATCGTGTTGGGATGAACCGATCAAAGCTATTGTTGTGCGATAGCTTTGTCGGAGAGTAGAAAATTGGAGCTGGCAAGGGATAGGTTTCCACATAGGGTGTGTGAACAACATGTGGATCACTATTTGTGGGCTTGAGCAGTCTTTTTTCATTATCTTGATACATTTTGTTAGCTTAACTTTGGTTTTTATTTACTTGTCTTAGTATTCTCTGTGAGAGAAAAATCACATAATCTTGAAGGTACTAAAAGTAAATATGATTTATGTTAGTTTTTGATTGGAAAAATATAAGTTGCTTATAAATATTTATGCTACAGGAGATACAATAGAGTAGGCCAACAAATTATTTCACTCTATTGTAACTTGTATCTACTGCTATTTTCAAAAACATGCAAGTCACAGTAACTTGTAGTGTTATAGTAGCGTTTGAAAAATTGATGAATTTTTTAGCAGCAAGTACTAGGTTGCAAAGAAAATAAATACATAAAGTAGTAACCTGCGGGCATTAAAGCCGTGCAAGAGATACATGCACGTTGCCACATATCAATAGATAAGACCGAACGAGAGTACATATTTGGAGTACCATTATCACGATTCGATAAGGAAAGAAAGCAAACGAATTCTTTCACTCCACACAATTATCAAAAGCACGGAAGCTTTCTCTGTCGTAATATATCACTAATGGAGCTTCTTTGGAAACTTTTGTAAGATTTCAAGCCTGACGAGATTGAACCTTGACTCACGTAGCCGTAATAACTCTTCACCCGCATATTTATGCGACGAGGAGGAGGAAAGAAGCAAAGTTCAAGAGCATGCTCCGAAAATAAAGTTCTCGCAAAGGTATACGTATCCTAACCTTACTTACTTCGGGGTGGGATCAGTCCAGCGATTTCATGTTTCTTGGTTGCGTTGCGTGTACGGATGGGTGTGCGATTCGCGAACGTCCACCGACGATGTTCCTCAGGACAAGTACGTGTAAGATAAAAAAACTGCAGCTGTGGGGGGTAATGGGAGTCAAGTCAGATATAGCGTATTGGTCGACCAGTGCTACCCACAAGCGACTCGCGACTGCTCGCGACTCGCGACGTCGCGAACGCTTGTGCTGGGGGCTTAGGCTCACGCCACACATACGCCAGCGGATACATACCAGTCACCACGTCCCCCACCTCGCTCGCTCTCACAAGATTAGCGCTTTTGTGTTTGCGCTTCGGGGATGGGCATAGGGAGCGTTCGCTTTTAAAGGACTCTGCGACTCTTGTTGTGCCAGCGTATACGCGCGATCGATAACAGGCAGGCCTTCCACGTCGTTGTGGACGTGGCTTCATTATGACGCGCTTTCCGTATGCCTGTGCGCGGACATATGCACTTTACACGAGTGGCATTTAAACGTGTAATGTGCATGCGGCGGGAGAGAGATGAATACTTAAGTCTATCACAGTACCTTTTGAATTCGGCACTGTGGCTCGTTCGGGCGTCGGATAAGTTACGATTCGGCGAAAACTTACTATATGACGAGGCATACACGTGTTTTTTTTATCTGTGTTACATTTTTAAATGCCCAGCTGCTGTGCGACTCTTTATTCCTTCGACTCTAGGAAGCGCGCGCTTATTCACGCTATGGTCAACAGTATGTCACTCCGGCCGTGCACTGACTTATCAATATATGTATATTTATATGCGGGTTTGAGACTGCCGACGAAGAGTAGCTGCAAAGTTCAACTCAAATATTATATGTGACGTGTTAAAATTCTGTGCTACGTCTTTCTCCAGTTTTATTGTATTTTTGAATACTGGTTGGAGCCTGGTGTTGTCACGCGCGCTTCTGAAACTGGCTTTTTTTTTTTTTTTTTAAATTAACGACGCGTGCGAAGTTTGTAAATTGGAAAAACAATATCTATCCGCATACTTTCCTAGAAGTTCCTGTGCGATATATAATTGACATTTCGCAGATAGTCTACCCGTATATTGCAGCACGGTTTTCGCAGCGACAGACCGCCATTATTGAGCTGTAAAAATACGCGTGCCTCGAAGTCGGCATTCAAACAAAATGTCATCTGTAAGTACGCGAAGTGCGTCGTAATTTGTCGATACGCCCTCTAAAACATTTACGAACGCTGACAAATAATAACAAGTAATTCATCATCGGTGCCACGTATAACTTTACGACACGCGCTGCTTTTACAGTCTTAAGTGGAATGATTCTAAAAAAAAAAAGTGTACGGCCGAGTATAGTAGTGTCTCGGTTGGATTGAGGAATCGTCGGTGTCGGTGGGTTCGTCGTCCATAGCGTGAAAAAAGAGCTTTCGAAACGTTAAACCGGATACTCGATTGTAAAGCCTGAATAAAAACGTCGAGCGTCGGTGCGCGGACGAGTCTCAAGCTGCATTTTGTACGCGGACGCTCGAGTGGCCGCTCGTCATCGAGGAACTCCAATGAAAGTGCCTGCCGTGAATGGCAATGGGCGAAGGTGGGCCGCGCTGTCGATCGCGGGTAAAGGGCCGCGCGGCCACGCGCAGAAAAGCCAGATCTTTTTTCCCAAGGCTAGGCGGGAGTATCGCGCGAGCGAGAAACTTTTTTGCCGGCGCGCGGCCCGAGCGAGAGCGCAGCCAGCGAGGAAGGGGAGGAAAGGAAGAAAAAAAAAAAAAAACCGATTCGCCTGCTGCCGGACATCTGTATGTAGGCTGCTCGCCGATGACGATGGGGAGGGGGAGGGGGGAGGTGAATGAATTACTCGCGATAGTACTACGTGCGTACTACTACGCCGGCGTGTGCGTACTACGAGGCGGCACGCATCGACTCCTCTCCTGGCGCGAGCTGCAAATACGCGATTCAAGTCGCGGAAAGAGTTCCCTGTATCTCCTGGCTCGGCATTTCGCCTCCTCCGCTATTTCAAGGCTGCGCCGTAATTTTCATTGCTCGCTTTCGGCAGCTCGTCAGCCTCGGCATTCGCCGCCCGCGCTTCGTGTATATTCCTACGATTTTCTCAGGCTGCTCTTTCGCAAACGATCGTCGTCGGCTGCCGCCGCAGGACGTTCCCTTGACACTCGAATCACAACGAAGAAAATGCTCTCCAGCGAGTGTGTGGCCGCAAGAGGCTATCCTCTTGAAAAGAGTGTCGATAAAACATGATTCACGCATACTCGAGCCGAGCGCTAACAGAAGGATTTTCTCGAAATTACAATGTTTACGATCGAAGGTTGATAAACAGCCGATTACGTTTGTTTTTTATGCATCGACAGGCAAGACCGTGTCCCCAGTGAAATTGAACTACGCTTTGCAGGCGCGTAAATCGCAAAGCCAGCGACTCGCGCATGGAAATGACTCGCTAAAGCATTGTCTCGGGCGAGACTTATCAACGCTCCTCTATCTCTTCGGAGTAACGAGCTGGCGCTTTCTCACGAGGGCACGCGGCGCGACACGCCCTGACGGAACAATTACATAGCGAACGCGCTTCCGTGTGCGCATCGCCGTTGAAAAAGAAAAGAACTCGGGATCGCGAATGTACTTCCTCGTGCCGCGATCGTCGTTGGTCATTACCGCGGCATCAGCGAATCGAAATGCAACGAGTGCGAGAGCTCGGCGCGACGAGAAAAAGAGAGAGAGGGGGGGGGCGAAAGTACAAGAAAAGTTTCCACGCCGATTCTCGTAGTCGCGATGCCCAAAACGCGACGCGAAGGAAACGAACAGCTAGTTCCTGTGCTCGAAAAAGGCCCACGAACGTCGTCGAGCCCATCTTGGCTCTCACACTCTCTCTCTCTCTCTCTCTCTATACCTCTCGCTAGGCGTACACTTATACGTGCCGCGAGTTCCAAGAGCGTAGCCCTAAAGGATGCCCCCCCTTCGCGCGCGCGAGCATTTCATTTTTAGATCGTTGACCTATTACGCACACCTCGAGCGCGCGAGATAAGATACCGAGGCCCTCTCGATCCGCTTTTTTCCTTTCATTGCACGGGCATTTTCCCATGCGGCCCGGATCGTCTGCTCGGCCGTGTAGACGGAAAATCGTGAAAAGCAAACGGCGGCGCGATAAGATTACGCGAACGGCTCGCGCGGCGCGACGAAGCTAAGCTCCCGTACAATGGACGCGCGGCGAGGAAAGAGACGAGACATGCTAATGCGGAGGACTGCGCGCGCTCATTTCCCTTTGAAATTCGCTGGCCAGGCCGTCGAGCGCGTATCCCTGACTCACCGAGAGCAGCCGCCTCGCGCCCGACGCGGGCGACTTTCACCTCTTGCACGCGCTTTTCCGCTCCGGGGGACTGCGCGCCCGCGAGGCCTCGCGTTGAAAAAGCGCTCTGCCGCGAGGCGCAGGTCAGCGGAAACAGGTTGCGCCGCGACGCCGGCAAGCCCGTGAAAAATCGACTGGAGGCTCGTATCTCGCCCGCGATGGAAAAGTCAAACAGAGACTCGCCGCGGTCTTCGCCTCGTCCGACGAACGTTCTTTTTTAGATTATTTTTCGGTCTCGGAGTGATATTCGGATTGCGCGTGGACGGAACAGCGCTTACCCGCGAGTTTGTTTTGTTTCCGGCGAACGTGTCCCATCCAGTGATTTCGCCATTTTCTTATGAGAGTCCAGCCGATTCAGCTTAATTACCTCTGAGTAGCTACATTCGACCAAGCGGATTTGAAGCATTTTAATTTTTCGCGAGGAAAAAAAAAAAGACGAGAAAAGGGGAAACAAAAGGGGAAAAAAAATGAAAATGAATTCTCGATGCTAATTTCGCAAAACTATTTGTCAGTATCGCAACAGATAATTAATGGAACGAAAGTTGGAACGCGTGCGACATTAACGTTTGAAAACGCGATGGATTTTTAAAAAATTCGACTTCTCTCTTTGAATAATCACTTTTATCGTCTTGCCAAAACCAGTTTGTTGCAAATTGTTTTTTCCTTCGACATTGACGTCTTAACCAAATATATATACGGACATTATACATAACTGTCCGCGTAAGATAATCGTTTGAGTAAATGTCTATTTATGTCCACGCAAGATGCGCGTCCGACGCCTGCCCGGGATTATCGATTTTTGCATTAGTCCTCCTCCAAACGCTTCTTTCTCGTATCGCTAATGATAATTTCAGTAGAATTCCATTTCTGTATATATAGGTGCGCGTAACGTCATCCGGCAGTCCGCGCTCTCTATATCGAGGCGTATCATTTGCATTAGGCACTTTAAATCTCATTCGAATTGCGTCGAAAACTTTACCGCCACTGAGCGCTAGCAGTCGCGACTCCGAAGGATGTTTTTTAGAAAGCGTAAGTTAAACTTTTCCCTATGCAGTCCAGAAAGGAGATAAAGAAAAACTGGTTCCCCGCGAGAGGAATTATTATTGGAACGTCCAATGGTATCTATTATACGAAGGATTAGGAAAAAGAAACGCATTATGCACCTTCATCATAGCACGAATTCCTATCGCTGACGCGCAGGCTTTTCCATCGCTTTCATTATTCGTTTGTTTCACGGCAAATGCTGCACTTCTCATCTCGGCTACGGAGTTTCCGAGAGTTCCGTTGCGAACGAGTCACGTATATGTATATTTTTTTTTTTTTTGGTTCGTACGTGCTGTTGCGTACTGCGATTTTATTCTAAATCTAATGTGTAGATTGTGGGAGAAATTTTTTTGGCCATGACGATACCTCTTGTCTTACAACTCCATTTTTTTAAGGTCTAGATATGCGAATATTCAGTGTATTACTCACAGAAATACGATTTTCAATAAACCATCGTGATGTTTGCCTTTCTCGGCAGTCTAAGCAATGTTTTCATAAGCTTAAACTTGCAAGGGTATGATGAAATTGTTCCAGATGAATTTTGCTGAATCAATTTCGTTCAACGTTGTATCAAATTTCGTGCCGTACAAATGTTCAAACAAAGTGAATTCTTCAACAATATCAGTTTCATTGCCATATTCAACGTGAAACTCGCTGAACATTTTTTTTATAAACAAATAGTGCACAAAACAAATTTTAACTTTCTGATCAAATTGTTCGTTTAGCAGAGATCGAAGGAGCTCTTTAAATCAGATGTACAAAAAAAAAGGCAACGATTTATTTCCGGACGTATTTCAAGCTTCTGTAGAAACCCGAATAAAAAATTGAGCGGTGGGATATATCGAATATTCAAATAAATAGACACATTAAAGAACGACAGAAGCCTATCAAGTGCTAAATTTTGTCACCTTTCTCCGAGCACGCTCTTAGTCAGCGACTTCTTTATATGATAAACGAAGCGTGCACGAGCTTGCAAAAGAGGCACTGGACATGAAGAAGGTCAAGCTGAGCGTCAAATTCACATTCTAGTGAGTGGCGAAACAGTTATAATTTTGCAAGGCACTTCTAACACTGCGATCAGCTAGAAGCTCATGGCGTTTTGTATATTGATATATCAAGCGGTAATCGATGACAGCCGAGTGAGTACTCGATAGTCATTGCTTGTGTGTTTAAAATGTGACGAATTTATTTAAAATTCGCATAGTGTCAGAATCATGATTGATTAGCTATACGCAATCAGCATTTTTATGATTGAGATCTCGTCACCTTATAAATACATAATGTTTTAACACATGTATGCTGGATTTCTTTTACTCAAAATATTATTGCCGATCCTTTTTGCGTTCGTCTTAATTTATCTTGCGATATTAAAATTTTCCTTTTGAATAAATCATCATCGTCTAAAAATATATAAGCACAATAAAAAACAGTTATGTCAATTACTTAGTGATCGTTTCAAGTGTAAAGTGTCAAGCTGTGACATCTATCCTAGGAATGGTTCACAGCGGGCAACAGTGAATTCTATTTTTTCGACTAATGGATAAGTTCTCGGTAAAAATAAATAATAAATATTGCTTCAAAATTTTGTAGTTCTTATTGTTGTTCACTTCGTTGAAGGAAACTTTTCCAAAGAACACAGGACGTTTAACAATATTCACCTATGGCTAGAGAAAAAGAACTTACAATCTAAATGTTAATTACACGTTATAATTAATAAACATAACATACATAAAAATTAAATATTTTAGGTATTTTTACTTCTCATTGAATACGTTTTGATGAATAATTGAATAATATTCAATTGAGTATTTATCTGAATTTCGAATGGAGGTTAATTTCCATTCATCTTGATATTCACCCTTAAAAATTATTTTTGACTTTCTGACAAATCGTTTGAATGCCGATTATAAAAAAATGATCCAATCACAAACACGCAACAACGTAACCATAAACGCAAAAACAACATACATATTGTGAACAGAGCATAAGCTTTTACACTGTTTGGACGTTTGGTGGTGCGTGATTCTCGTAACATAACCATACTTCTTTCCCGGCTTAATCCTGGGCGCCCCCCGGTAGTATAGGTTTGTTTGGCGTCACGCGTCAAAGAAATTTCTATTAGCGTGGTTTGTGTGAAATATTTGCGTTTACTGCTTTATATCGGACTCATTTTATATACAGAATTCGTGATGTTGAGAAGGTAAGACTTATCTATGCAATAAATGTTATCTGTTAATAAATATTTTTATTTTACATAAAAAAAGCTAAACGACTTGAATCGCCACATAACCTTGAGGGTTTGCTGTCCAACTTTCTGTAGTGTGCAACACTTTTTGCCTTTTATATAGGTAGTTATCATAGTTATCAAAGCTATATTAATTGTACGAAAATAGAAAGCATTATCGTTAACAATTATAAGAACGAGACTTATATATATACTCTCTCCCTCTCTGATTGCTACTTGGCGTATGTGATTAGTATGAGAAAGAATATCTGGTGCGTGTGTGTTGCGTTAGAGAATCTGAAATAGGCATAAAAAAATGTTACACTTGGAACCAAATAACACAGGCGAAATTTTGAGGTAAGCGAGCCTATCGCTGCAATTCTATGTATCACAACAAATTATCATCAGCAAAGCTCGACTTATTGTCAAATGTATAGTGTTGTATAATTTTCATTAAGGTTACAGTATCTTACCCTCACACTTCCCTTTGGCAGCAATTGATATTAACATAGCAAGATAGTAACTTTTTTTTTGTTTTATTCTTTTTTTGCTGATTTTTTTTATTAACACTGTAGTAGTTAACTTTTGAAATTTAAGGTGGCTCCAGCATTGAGCGGATCAAGTGCCATCATTGGATAATTTTAGGTATTTTATTCACAAACATTAGCTTGTAAAAAAAAGAATTAATAAATCAGTTGCTGAACCTGGAATGTAAAAAGATTTTTAAAATGTCACATTTTAACTTAATGATGGAGCCACTTTACAGGTATATACTAATTGTCTTGTGTATTCCATATCATAATTCTAACATTTTCATAGAAACAGTCTTAAAGGTTTTAACAGTTCAATTTCAACATTATTTTTTTATTACAGTTCAAAAATGAAAGGGGTTATTGACGTTCTGGCTATGCAAAGAGAAAAAAGGCTCACCCTACAAAAAAATATAAAAGTAATTGACTACTCTAAAGCCACAGATAGTTTCACAGTAGCTAGGTTCATTTTTGAGTGTGGTAAGTTTACTAACCTGTAAAAGTTAGATTACAAAACAATATGTAAATAGAAATATTTTCTGACATAATATTTTTAAAATTTACATAACATAAGTAGAGATATAAAATTGTCAACATTTTTTAGGTTTGAAATTAGAAGCTAATGTTTTGACGATATCCACTGCTGCTTCTTTATTTCATAGGTTTATGAGAGAAGCAACTCCACAAGGATATGATCCATATGTTAGTTTTTTTAAATATCTTTTTTTATCATTTATACTGTAAATTAAAAATAATAAAGTACATAATTCTGTTTTACAGTTAATAGCAGCGACATGTTTGTACTTGGCAGGAAAAATAAAAGACAATACCCTTAAAATTAGAGATGTCATGAATGTATCGTACAGTACATTACATAGAGGTTCACCACCATTGGAATTGGGTGATCAATACTGGTTTATGCGAGATGCTATAGTACAAGCAGAGCTTTTAATTATGCGTATGTTGAAGTTCCATGTCATGCCAGAACATCCTCACAAGGTAAATTTACCTTAGACTTATTTTCGTATGACTGATTGATTAGTTTTATTAATTTATCACTATTTTTCAGTACATGCTTCACTACTTGCGATCTTTGCAAGCCTGGTTTGGAGAAGAAGAGTGGGGAAAATATCCTGTAGCTAGAACGAGTATGGCACTCTTACAAGATTTTCATCACATTCCTGCTGTCCTTGATTATCCACCAAATCTGATTGCCATAGCTTGTATCAATTTGGCTTTACAAATTTATGGAGTTGTAGTGCCTCTTATGGATGAATGTGATCAGCAATCTTGGTTCAATGTAAGTACTGAAATTAATTTTGTATTGTTTAGTTGAGTATAATATTAGAATTACTTCAGAATTCAGATAACCATTTGAGACAAGGTAAAATAAAATGTAACTTGTTTTACATTATTCATATATTTTATTGCCATGAAATTTTACTATTCCATTGAGTGAATCACAATTTTTTAATTTTTAAGATAACATGAATTTTACATATGATGTACATACTGTTCAACATTCACAAATAATTTTTTAATCGATAACATTTCTACAGGTTTTTTGTAAAGATCTAACCAGAGATAAGCTATGGGAAATTATGGACAAAGTTATGTCATCGTACGACGAGGAGCCAGAGACAAGTGATCGTTAGTTCATAGATTTTTTCATTGAAAATCGACTCAGTGTCCAACATTTACAGATTTTTTTTGAGTTTTGTGAACTAAATATTGTCTAAGAAACCCATTGGTAATTTTACGTCCACACACTTTTCATTTTTTGTATGTGTATATATAGTGTAAGTAAATAATCATTTGACGAATTGAGTTTTAAGTTACACATTATTTTTCCTGCTTATTATTATGTACTTTGATATTTTTGCTACATACAGTCTTTTGAATATATTTTGGTCGAGGCATCAGTATCTTAGAAAAAATATAATTACATTCAAATAAAGTCAATGAAGTATTAGAAATCACAAAATCAATGTTATCCAATATGTTACTTTACAAAATCAACAGTGTCATCAACAATTCAAATTTATTTTGGCGAAATTTCGAAACCAAAATAAAACATTCATTCAGTTTTCTATAACAGATATTTAAGAGTAATAAAAGATAGCAATCAAAAATTATATTTTTTTAAAAACATCAATATTGGAAAGTAAATAAAAAAATTAATATTATTTTCTGATTAGTTTCATAGACAAATATTGATAAAGAATTCAAATTCAATGTTTAAATTTACTGAAAGTAATGAAAAATATCTGCAGCACCTTTAACTCTTTGGTGATTGGATCCCATTAACCCTAGTTATTAATGAAGTTTTAAGAACTCGGTATAAAACTTTTTTCAAAAAATTGTTTTTCACGTAACTTGATATATTTTTCAAATATCTCGTTAAGTTTTTACATCAAACATTTAAGAAAATAAAAACTAAATATAACTTAAGTTTATACTATATAAGAGGGCAAACTATTTTGATGAGTTTTAATTTATCGAAATAAAATAACTGAAACAATACATATATGTCACAAAATTACAAAAACATCTCGTAATTTTTTTCTTGACGAGTAGCGTAAATTATATTGAACATATAAAAAGAATTATATATTTGCAGTAACTTTATAATTGAAATCTTTGGCCATTATATTTCAAGTATATTTCACTTTAAAACTATACTTGAAATATTATATTTACCATAAAAATTTGTAATTACTTTCACATCAAAATCTAGCTACGTGTAATGATAGTAAATACACAATAGTATTATATATTCGTAAAATGTTCATTAACTTATGTGTATCATTAACTTATGTGTATAAAATCGATGCTTTTCATTTTTTACAGTCGATATTTACATATTTTGAAAAAAAATTCGTGAACTTGAAGCAAATGTCATTTGAATATACTCGTAAACTGTTAAATCGTGTGAAAAATACTTTCAATGATATATCATTATCGATAAAAAATGTTATAAAAACTTTTTTAAAACGAATAATTTGTCTTTCAGAGACTGAAATTCCAAGTATCAATGACTTCTTCTAACAAGCTACGTATAAGTTAATCTCCCAATATTATAACATCAAGAAAATAACTTTACGAGTTATACAATACTCTTACTTTTCAGCCTTTCTACAAGAGAAAATGTTTTTCTTTTAAAAATCTATGAAAAACAGTTGCTGGTCAGTCATGAAAAGAACAACCGATGTTATTTTCAAAAACAAACGCAACATTATCTTGATCTTTTAGTTTCTCGGAGAAGTGCTCTTGCTTTCTTTTTCCTACAATTATCACATCGATTGACATTTATTAAAAAGTGTATGCATCTTAGACCTTGCAATCGCTTGATTTTTTCTCTCTTGTCTTTAAGTATACATCATGATGGCTGGTTGAACGTTTTACCTATCGTTGTATAGTGTTTAAACAGATCGCACGACTATTATAAATATTAAAAAATTGAACGCACTTCAACCAGAAATGGGATTACTCGTCAAATTAATGTTTGTCTCTGAAATTGAAGCTGTTGTTTTTGGTTTTATCAGTCCTCGTTTCTTTTTTTGTTAGTATTTATTCAACACTTGTAGGTGTTAGAAAAATGAAAAATTGGATCGTTTAGGCCGCCTCTTTAGCCTTCAAAAAGTAAGTTAGCATGTCAATTGGTAACGGGAATACAATCGTTGAATTCTTCTCGGCCGAGATGGTGTTGAGAGTCTGAAAACGAAGATCAGCACATTTAGCATTCCATGCGTTCACGAACGAATCCAGTAATCAGTTGTTCAATGAATAAAAATAAGATTATGCCGCTCGAAAATTCCTTGCTCAAGGTTTTTTCACGACGAAGAAACTACGCCGGCTTCGATTCGCGCAACGTTCGTCCGAAAATAGGCGTCGATCGTAAAGTCGAGAAATGTGCTTAAGAAACGTACCTGAAGATAGCGCAGCTGAAGAGCAGCCGGCGAATCGCCAATCACCTCGGAAGCTTCGCGCAGAGCCCTGCTTGCCTTCTGCTCGCCCTCGGCGGCGATGACCTTGGCGCGCGCCTCGCGCGCGGCTTCGGCTTCGGCAGCCATGGCGCGCTGCAGTTGCACCGGCAGCCTGACGTCCTTACTGTGTGTGAAAAAGAGCGCAGCGCGTAAGAACGTGAAACCATAGGAAGAGCTCGACGACCATCGTCGACGACTCACATCTCGACTCGCTCGACCTTGATGCCCCAGGCGTCGGTGGCCTCGTCCAGCGAGGTCTGCATGTTCCCGGAGATGGTCTCGCGCTCGCTGAGAATCTCGTGAAGCGGTCGCGTGCCCATGGTGTTGCGCAGCGTCGTCTGGGCGAGTAGCCGGGTGCTGTGGTGGGCGTTCTCCACGTTGGCGATCGAGATCGTGGCGTTGTTCACGCGGTAGTACACCACCGCGTCCACCGAGACCGTCACGCTGTCTTTGGTCAGTACCTGTTTGGCAAACCTCGACGCAGACCCGATCAGTCACCTGTACGAGCGCCGAGAGCGCTGCATACCTCTTGCGGGGGCACGTCGTAGGTGCGGGTGCGCAGGTCCACGCGCGCGTAGCTGTCCACGCACGGCAGAATGAAGAAGATTCCTGGGCCTTTGGCGCCGCCGGATAGAAGCCTGCCCAGCCGGAATATCACAGCTCTTTCGTACTCCTGCACCACCTGCGCGACAGACGCGGCAAAACTATATTGTCGACACGCCGCTGGCCGCTGGTCGCGCGACAACGCACCTTGAAGCAGACGAACAGGGAGAACGGCATCGTCAGCACCACCAGGATCCACGACAGCACGATAAGAACCTTCCCGCAGGTGCCCTCATCGTTGCCCGAGCTATTACCGTCCTCCGCTGCAATGACAAAGCGAGCGAACGCTATAGCGATCGGTCGTCGTCGTCGTCAACGTCGTGCGCGAGCTAAGCTATAACGACCCGTGCCACGTCGTATAAATAGAATATAATCAGCTGGATCTACTACCAATGCACCGAGCAACTTTTCTAATAATACGCGAGCGCTTCACCTTAACATTATTCGCGAAACCGTGGCGAGACCGTACATAAACGCTTTCAATGGATTGTTCCATAAACGCTGAAGGTCGCCAGCTTTTTTCTTTTCTAATATCTTCGCGCGAAGGTGCAGCCAAGATGCACCTAGGCTAATCAGCCACACGACCAAAGTCACCTTCGAATGTGCGTGCGTCGCGTCGTTCGACGTAAGTTTCGTGCGTTCGTCGAGTTTTTCTCGATAATAAAATAGTATCGACCCGAAAATATTCCCAGCGAATATTTGTATGGATGCGAAGGAACGAAGCCGCGAGTATCGTTTTTAAAAGCCGTCGAAATTTTTTCTTTCGTAAAACAGTGCGTCGGCACAGCGTCAACCTCTGCAACGTGAATTCTTTTTGTACGTATTGAAATTCGTCGATACAGCGCGATAGACGCAAGAAAAAACGTTGGAATTCACGTGCGAATTTGCGATTGATCTTCCGCGCGCATAAGAGCGCGACGTCGAGCCACGACCACGTCGCGCGCGCGTATCGAGCGTCCCGATACGCGCGTAGGCGTGTAAGCGCGGCCGAGGGCAGGGAAGCTTTTTCGCGCACCACCGCGGATTTTGCCCTCTGCCAGCGACGTATCGCCCGAGGGATGCCTGTCGAGGAGGAAGGGAGATGTCGATCGTAGCGCGCGCGCGCGCGCAAGCGAGAGAGAGATGTGTGGAATTTTATTGACGCTCCTCCTTTCTCTCTCGCTCTCTTCCTCTTTCCCTGAGACTCGACGACTGCGTTTGCTGGTCGCTGATACTTCTTCGCCGAGGAGAAACGCGCGGAAGCCGCCGGGCGAACGATGTTTGCCTCAACCGAACGCGCAGTCGCATCAATTGGCTTGCGAGCAGCCGACTGTAATTTGCCCGCCGAAATACTTCGGTTTCGGCATCGTCCGAGTGGTATTGAATGTCCCAGCGCGCGCTGTACGTTGCAACGATGGATGGCACGACGTTAACGTCGGAGGTCGCGTCGATTTCTCTCGAACCGCAGGCGTCGCGCGCTCGCAGCGACCGAATCGCCATCGCTCTCGGTGCGAGAAATGCCATCGGAGCGCGTCGCAGCCCAGGTGAGACGAAGTTCCGTTGGTGATCTGCAATTCACTCGGGGGTGAGCTGCCTCCTCGAAATACCATTGTATTTTTCGCGAGCTGCTTCCGCGACTATCCAAACGCCTCGTACAAGTTTGCCAATCGATAATTCGTCTCTTGCAAGTTGTGTTCGACAAAGAATCTCGAGTGACATCCTTTGTTTCGGTTTATCTACATCGATCGTTACGTCGAGCGAAAAATTTCACTTTTAACTTGCCGACAGTCAATTATTAGTCGTTAATTGTAACGACTTCGTTTCTTATTTTCTCACCTGTAATAATTCAAAGTAAATTCGATTTACAACGAATCACTCAGTCTTCATCCGTCCGTCAGATTTCAAACGCATGTCGAGCAAGGCAGCTCAACTTCATAAAAAAAGAAAAAAAAAAGAAAAAGATCAAGTGCCGTCAGTCGCCGCGCATCGAGTATAAGTGACACCGGCAAAGAGAGAGAGAGGGGAGAGAGAGAGAAAATTAGCGCAAAGTGCTCTCGAACGACGAACGGGAAAGGTAGTTCAATGAAATTTTCAACGGAGCTTCAAGACGCGCGTCGCAGCGTGACGTTTCGCGGCGGCGGCGCGAAAGAGCTAATTTCACTTTTGCGCAAGAGGCTTCTGTTCTCGTAATTTTCAACGAACTATTGTGTTTGCCGCTTACACGGATGGCAAATGCCGAAGCTGAAGCGGTCGGCTGAGAGAGCGAATAGAAACGTGTTTACTTGACCAACTCTGCTCGTTGGATTTACGCATTGCGCAAGGGAATTGTTTAAATGTCATAAATCAACGTGTGTTTTTATTTGCCCAATTCGTAAACGAGCAGCCGGTTAAAAGGGCAATGAAGGGCTCGAGGGCGTTAGGGTTTCCGTATATCCGAATTTCATCCGCCCCGAAGAATTCATCGACGACCTGGACGAAAGAGAGTCATTGGTCGATTATGCGCCCCACGAAGATGAGCTTGATTTTATAAACTTCCGACGACGCGACAAAGCGATCGGGCGAGCGAGAGCAATGTGAATTGCAAATTACGCGACGGTCTCGGAGTAGCGAAATAATTACATCGAAACGTCGTTAGCCGCCCCCATAATAGGCTAAATATGATACGCTGGCCACGAGGACGTTAACGAGTTTAAAACGGTTTCAGAGCTAATTGAGGATACACAAGCCTGCACCTACAATTTTTTCATGCCTCGAGCTCTATAATCACACGTGCCTATTTGACGACGGCCTTCGAATATCGGAACGCTCGATAAATTCGATTAAATTTGGACAAATGTTCATAGATACTGTGCGCGTAATCAGCTTGGGCGCGTGTACGAGACCTCCTTGTTCCGTTGGGTTTCGCTATTTCCCTTTCACGGCTATTAAGCGAAGATGCCTACAGTCTCGTTTGAAATCCGTGTTGACAGTAACGTTCTTTTTAAGAATCCAGCAAATTTTTGATGGGATTGAAATCACGGCATGTCAGATGTTGAAGCGTTGAAGGAAGTTGACTAGTCCCGAAATTTTTATTTGGAATTGAATTATTTTATTTACTTTTTTAGAGATCATTTGCAATTTTCTATTTCGCTCTAAAATTACAGTATACTCGACTTGCTATTGGGGTTTTTAGCTTCAGTGCTAAATTAAAATGATCGAAATTCCATGTTAATTATAAAGTCGATTTTGAACTGAATTTCGAATGAAGAAAGAAGTAAAAGTACTCAAGTTTACGATCCCTGTTCTTTTTATAAATTAAAGGCCATCGAACAACGATAATTACGCCTGCTAATGGTAAAGCTAAATTGAGAATATTTATAACGTATACGAAGTTACTAACGAGTTTTGCATCGACAATGGTGCAAGTAAGCACAGCAATAACCTGAAAGTATCGCATATGAATACTGCTATTTAACAGTTCGCGTTGTGACGGATATCCCCAAGTTTTTAATGTGATATGAATTTTTAATAGATCTAAATGGCCACTATACACTCCTTGCCGTTCTCTGACTGATTGCCACACGTGTCCGGGAAACATTCGCGCGACACTTCATTCCAATTTATGGTTGGCTAATTTGTTTTACTTGAGCGGGAAAAACAAGGGGAGGCTCAATTAACTTGATTAAAAATTATCCTTCGAGTGCGCGCAGCGTCCACCTTAGCTTCGTTCCTTTTGCAATGCATCGCCGCAGCGCCTTCGTTTAGCCGAGTATATGGCGCGATCGAGTGTTCATGTCTAAAAGTAAAGCTCCGCGCGCTATTCCCGGGGCTCGCTGCACGAACGCGCCGATTTGCATATATTTAAGGAATGCACAAGCTCGCGGCGTGCACGCCGAAGCCGCATTCGCCATTTGTTTATCCTCTTGCAGCTTTTTTTTTTTGTTTTTTTTTTTTTTTTTTAAATAAACGCGTCCGGCCGAGCTTTCGATATTTTTGCAAGTCGGCGTTCCGCTAACCAAGTTCCACCCGTCGTTTAGGCCAGGTAAAAGCATTTTATCTACCCTGAACGACTCTCTAACAAAGTTATAAGTTATCGGCCGCGTGCTAATTGCGCTGAGCGAGTTATTGAACTTGGAATGATCGATGGCGTTTTTTCTTTTATTTCTGTTATTCGCTAACAATCGTTACGTATACATGCACAAACTAGTCAATGTCCACGAAATTATTCAAATATGAGAGTTTGATCTCCTTGACGGGGGCCTGAGGCAAATGTTTTGCTTGTCAAAACTTAATGCGCTTCGAGCGTGACGTCTCCTGTATTGCTGTTTCTTTGTAGTGGTTGAGCTAAAATTTTGTTCGTCGGGAAATGGATAATGGAATATTTATAAGAATATACGTATCTGATCGCTGTTCATAGTCGTACAGTATGTTGCTAGACGTTTTTCGATTGCTTTGAACAACTATAGTTATATTTTCTTAATTTTACGATCAGCGATGAAAAATCTTTTGAAATATTTTGAATAAAAATATTCGTATCAACGTTATTTTTATCGATATAAAAATATGCCACCTTGTCAAAATTGACGTTAACAAATCATCGGTTCACTATTGCAGTCTTTTCTAAAGGGCTGTGGAAAAATAAACTATGCGTGAATTGCCTATAATCGTGTATTTGTCGCGTAGTTTCGTTGTAAATACGTTTGATTGAACCTTACAAAGTGCCGAAACAGGACGGGGGGTACTCAAAACTCTTCTATCGGTTCATTGATTTTCGACCAAAATTGGAATCGATATCAAAACAACAAGATATATTAGCGATCCAGCAATGAAATTATCGAAATATCATCCTCCGATCAATCGCGACTTTTTCCACTGCGTACCCACGTCTTCAGAAAAAAATATATATATATTCAACTTGCCCGGCCACCAAACACACACGTGCATGCTCACCTTTGTTCATGATAAAAGTCCGGGCGGGGAAGACGAGTCACTAGGCGGAAGGAGAAGAGGAAGAAGAAGAAGAAGAAGAAGAAGAAGAAGAAGAAGAAGACGACGATGTAAGCTCCGACCGTGACCCCCGGCTGTGTGTTATAGTCGCGTGCACTGTGCCACACTGTCCCCCGTGAAATACAAGCGGCCGCGTCTCTGTCTCGGAGAGCGCGTTCACCTTCTCCTCCCGCGTTCTTTCTGTCCCACTACCCCCGACGACGCGAGCGAGTGCACCACGGCCGAAGGGACAATTGGCGCGCAGGCGGTGGCAGCAGCCTCGGCAGCGTGCAACCGAAATTGATTATCCGCCGCTGCCTGTTGATTAGCAAATACACTTTTTCCCGAGCAAGCAGTCCGGCTTGTACTAGCCTACATCGCCCCGCTGTGCGAGCGCGGAAAGCGCACCCTCGAGCGCACATGCGCACTGGAGCTTGTTGTTTACCCGTGCCCGGCGAGAATCCTGCCGCGATAGGGGAGCGATCCAAGGGGAATTCTCGCCCTCTTCGCGCCCCGACGCCGTGGCGAGGAGCACGTCTCGCGCGAGCCGGCCGTACGACGGCGGATCGCCGCTCGCGATCGTCGGCTTTCGGGGAGAGACGACGATGATTTCCGTTCTCTTTCCGTCGTCGAGCCCACGCTACGCGGAAAAGCTCGTCGTCGTTGGCTTGGCGGACTTTTCATCGCGAAAGCTCGCGTCTCGACGCTCTCTACAGCGTTTCGAGTTACCACGTGCCAATATGCTGCGCGCGCGTACACGTCAAGTCGCAAGCGCCTCTCAACGCCCGTTCGAGTGGAAAATAGGTGGATGCGGTCAGGCGCGAGAGCTTCTCTCGGTCCGCGCGCCCGTTAACTCAGAGGCGATCTGCCCGAAACTCGAATTACACGCGTTTACGACTGCGCGGCGCGCGTCAAACGAGCGGCAATTTATTCAAGGGATGGTTATTAAAGCAAGGAAGAAAGTTTCTTGGTGAAACTGTCACGAGAAGCTTGAGCGCTGCAAACTTGGTTCTCCCTACGCGCATCTGATGCCGACCATCGACTCTGTCCATATTCTTTTATTCGTTTATAGCGTCAAAGGTTGCCACGATGAAATTTGCATTGACGAACAATTCGTACGGAAGTTGTCCCGTACATCGACCATTGCCAGCGAACAGAAGACTTGGTCTGCTACGACAGCGGAAAGACGCGCTCCATCAGCCGTTCAATTTATTCTGGGCGTTCTTTGAGGTGTTCCGTCTCTTTGCCGACTTGTCTGCTCCTTTTGTGATATCGAATGTCATGTCGTTGACGTCAGCGCGACTGCAACTTGATTTTGGCCGTGAATTTTTTACCGCGAAAGTGCGAAGCAATAATTAATCTCCGCGACGCGAGAGCAGCAAAGTTGAAATGAAGTGCCTGTGGAATAGTAAATGCTCGCCGAAACGAGTTTGAGTGCCAGAAGCTTTGAACGTTATTTCCTATTATTTTCTGCAAATCCCGAAAGTGGGTCGGCAGGTATTTACGAGTGGCTTTCCACGAGCGTCCGTTGTGCCCTTTTTTCCTTCTCTCTGGAAAAATTCCTTTTCTATTCTTTCTCAAATGTCAATAATCGCCCTGGGAAACTACTCAATTTTTCGCGAACGCCTCGTCCCTCGTATGATCCATCTGTTCGCTCGTGGCACGTGTATCCCCTCGTACAAGGGAAAAACATCCGGGATTACCAAGAGCGTCGCGTACACTTCCGTCCAAGGGGAACTTTCGCTTCATCGGCCACGAAAAATTCCATGCTTTCTCCCCCCCCCCCCCCTTCCTCCGCGCCTCACTCTCTCATTGATTTGGGGAGTTGCTCACAGTTGGAATATTAAGCGAGTTTACGAGACGGCTCGTCGAGATTTCAATGTGTACGAGGCTTACTTAATCGATTTCCGAGCGGGCGCAGCGATTGATTTTCCCCAAAATTCAAGTATTCTCGTAATTCTGCAATGTCACGTTAACGTACAATATTTTTCTTTGATTTTAAAATAATTCCACGTGCACTTATCAAAATTATAACCAGCTATGTACCATTACGTGATCAGTGAAAAAGGAAGCTTATTTATTTTAAAACAAACCCGCGATGGCGAAAACACAGTCGGTAATAAAGATCCTAGAAAAGCTTATATGCTTCTCGTCAAAAGAAATTAGAGCATGCGCGATGAGAAAACCGCAGCGTGAGAGGTAAGCTTTCATGACCTTCTCCTCCAGCTCATAATTTTCATTCGGTATAATTTAGAGGCGGTGTACACCCCCTCTTTTTCTGTCTCTCTCGATTTTGACGCATGGCGACTACGGTTTTGTTCGAGTCCGTAGAAAAACAAATATCAACGGCTCTGACGCGAACGCAGAATCTTACCGCCGTTTGATCTGAATCGCCAACTTTTCGAGATAATGAATTCCGCGACGATGACAATTATTATGACGAATATAACGATATCGAGCTACGAGTATACTTCATTTAAAAATGCACACTTAACGACCGATCCGCAAATATCACGTGTTGAAATAAAAAAAAAGTTTGTAACAAAATAATAATAATAATAATAATAATAAAGAAAAGAAAAAAAGTGTGGGCGATCATTATAGGGACCGCGTACGATTATAGAACGATCGAGAAGGCTGTACTTTCGAAATTTTCCTTTGGCAAATGTACGTGACGCGAAACGCTCTATAGCAGCGCGTGAACGTTGAACTTTTTTTTTCCCCCATCGATCGCGGACCAAACTCAGTTTTCGTATGTTCACCGCAGAACAAGTTGACGAACGCATTCGCGAGAGTTCGCCCGAGCCGTTGACGACAGTTCGCAAATCCAATTTACGAATAGCAAATTGAACTTGGCGCCGTCCGGTCGAAATGAGAAAATCGAGCGAGTGATAACGGCAGTCATTGTCGAACCTGGACGAGCTTGCAAGTGGCGAGGCTAATCTGCTTGGTTCTAATCGTTTTCGCGCGCGCGCGCGCGCGAGAGGACCGTGGCTTCGCAAGGATGTCAGACCCGTCGCTTATCTCCTTTTTCTGCGTTCGTCTTCGGGCGAGCCATCGGAATAACCGAGAGAAAAAAAAAACGAAAACAAGAGAACCAGATTAAGAAGTAACGATTTTCTCGGCGCGGCATCGAAAAGTGAATTGAATTGGAACGCCATCGCTAACGGCCATTACTCGTAAACATGAGCACGACTATCAAGGGATCGTTGATAGAGCCGTTGCCGTGTCCCCCAAGTGGACGTTTGCTTTTATTCCAGTGAAAGCGTCTTCCGGGGCGTCCGCGCCGAGAGGCGAGCGGAAAATCGGCGCGCGGGGTGGCTGGCTGGACGCGAAAAAGCCCATCGATTTTTCATCGCGAGCCAGCTCGGAGGGGAAACGAGCGGCAGCCGAATCGGCGCGTCGCGTTGTACACGCAGGCCCCGACCTTCCCCCTCTCCTCCCCTGCGCCGTCGTCCCACGTGCGCGATAAATAATTCACCGATGACACGGACGGCCGCTTACGGGCAAGCCGCGTGTACAGGTGGTGGAACCCGCGCGGATCGATGCGATTGTAACGCTCGCGGGCCTTCGCAAAAATTCACACCCCCCGCCCGATACCCAACTCGGCCCGATTTTCAGGCACTAATTGGCCTGATTGCCGGCCAAGCCGTGTTCGGCAGGCACGCTTCTTCGATCGAATTGCCGCTTGCGCTCCGACCATCTAAAGGCACGTAAGACTGATGCGTTTGCGCGGGTGGAATTTAGTGCGTACGAATGACAAAGAAGAAAACAGGATCAGGCGACGCGGGCGGCTTTCGACAATCGGCCAATAAACGTCGAAGGGATAAATATAACAGCAACGCAATAAGCGGAACAAGAAAGAAGCAACGAACCTTTGATAATGCGGTTTCGGATGTCATCGGGTCGCGAGTTGATTTGTACCGTTGTGCTGTTCCCATTCATGTTTGTCATGGGAACTGACATCCTACGTGGACTGATGCGTGCCTCGAATCCCGCCAGCTGCATTGCGCGTCCAACACACAAACAATCGATTTACGCATTATAATATGCGCGTGTCCTGCAATTGCGACCGAAGCGGGCGCAATTGTTTGGACGCGGTGCGCAGGTTGTGATTGCTGCTGCTTGCGTGGACAAGCGACGATGTTCTTATGAGCAAACAACGCTGTTAATTACCGCGCCCGAGCGCAGTTATCCGTCGTTTGGGCGAGCCGCGCGTGGACTCTCGCTCAAAACAAAATAGAAAGAAAAAAAAAAGAAAATAAGTAAAGTTCAGTTCGATCGATAAAAGCGACGGTTATACTTCGCTCGGCAACTCGGAACGATTGCGAGCGAGCGACAGCCACGGATTCGGATGAAATTTTCGTTTGCGGTAACTTTGCTCGGATATTTCTAGCTCTCTGTTAGCCAGCTAACATTGTTTGCGGAACGCCACTATGAACTGGAATTATTACCCGGAGTGCTTCGGTGCAACTGGAGTGAGGTGCTCGAGTGATAGTAGTTGCTTTTAAAACAATCTTAACGACTGTTTCAACTCGCTCGTGTTATGATTTTCTTTTTTTTTCTTTTTTTTGAAGAATTCAAGCATACAAGTATTGTTTTCAATGAAGTTTGAATGAAAATAGCTTTCGTCGATATCTGGCACTGTGTCACAAAAATAATCCAAGAGACTGTGATAGTTAATTCAAATACGCAACACTTCTTTTATCTACGTAAAAATTGCCTGCGGACGCCTATACATTCTCACATTCAACATGTGTGCTCATAAGAACAAAGTAAAGTGTTTCGTACTCAAGGTTACTCGATACTGTAAACATGATATTCGTAAATCGCCAATGTGACGTCTTCTATAATTTTATGTTTCTTTCGCTATTTAGCGCAATTACTTTTGGAAGAAAAAGCGCGTGAAAGAATTCTAGACGATCTGCTACACGACTCTGCGTAACTGTGAAGAGCTCGAAATCGGCTAAAGAAAAGCTAAATATCGCGGTCAACGTGAACGTTAAAAATGGAAATATTCACGTGTAGAGTGATGCGATTCAAGCGATCTTCACAATTATTAGCAATGCTCATTCGGTTCGGCAGGTTGAAGACAAGAGGGATCGCGAGAAATGTAATTTCGCCGACGAGCCGTGCGTCGATGACAACACAAAGTGCGTTGGTTCACACACGTGAAACAGATTGCAGAGCGGTGCCAGCTTCGATTGCGATTTTTTGTTTTTGCTTCGGTGAACCGCGCGCGCGGAGGATCACTTTGAAAGCTGCGTTTCGTCATGCGCAATTGGTGCAACGAAGCTCTATTATTTCAATAAATTGAGCAAACTATCAAACTCACCCACGTGTAAAAATTACCGTCG